ATTTTTTCCAATTTTTATGATGCTACATAAATGTTACACAAGTTAAGAGTTATACATTATAATTCTGAAATACTGATATCAGTTTGGATTTATACAGAAGTAATTTCAACAAAGATTTTAAATTACATGTAAAACCTATAAGCTAGTGTTTACATCTAGTTATTTTGAAACAGTCACTTCAACTTTGGTTAATGTTTTACATTATAAAGCATATCTGGTTATAAGATATATTTCAGCTAGTTATTATGGAACACTCATTGAATTGAGTTGAAAGTATTTTTTCATATTTTGAAATACTGATTTTAGAACTAGCCGATCAGGAATACTGATTCTATCTTTTGAAATACAACCAGCCTGTCTAAAATATACATTTGTTTTTCACCTGCAGCTGGTTCCTCTGACTGACCGTGAAACAGTTGCAAGATTGAGGAATTGTATACTTGCTCTTGCTCGTCATCGATTGCTACTTTACGATACCACCATTTTGTACAGCTACGAAGCTTCTCTCCGACACCAAGTAAGCATTAAATCCATTAAACCTCAAAACTCACAAAAGATTTTTACGTGAATTTGAAGTTATAAAAACTTTATTATCAGGTGAAATTACAAAGTATTTGAATGTAGCTCAAAAAAGTATATACATTTTTCAGAAGATGAAACAGAGACCAGGTTGTTTCAAACACTAACACAAATTATGGATATATTACCTGGTTTTAAAAACTTTGATTAACAAGCACTTTATATCTCAATCAAGGGTATTAACGGTCTTCAGGCACCAAGGTAGAGGCTATATGAGAGACCAGATTAATTTCTATTAAAGTAGTTTTCATTTCTATGTGCAACGTAAGAGAAGTAACCTATTCGATGTAGGCAAAATAAATATATCAAAATTATCTTGAACTTTTGTTTATATAATCATCTGTTTACATTTCTATGAAGTAAATCAAAAGTATATATTTGTATCATTATAAACAACATTCTTTTTTCCCAACTGTATCTAGTGAATCATTATATTGGAGTTAATGTTAGCTCACTTTATTAGAACCAGCTTTCCACAGCTGTTGACTAAAAATGTAATACAAGAAAATGTTAAGGTATCTTTAATAATAAAAAAACTGAATGATTCAAAATTATTAGGAGTGGTAAAATCACATAAATACGAACAATGATGAAACTGTAACCCCTTTTGATAGGTGGATATGTGATTTTCAGGAGTAAAGGAACTAACATCTTAAATCTTGTAGAAGCATTTGGAATATACTTTCTCTCATTGTTTTCGACATTGAAAGTTAAATGAAATATGTAGATAGGAATACTTTTAAACACACACATATATATATATATATAAACAGACACGTACAAAGAAACATTTATTTTGCTGAAGGAAGTGAATAATAAAAGTGTAACAATAAAAACAACTTCAAAATATTTTGAAGT